AAGTTGGACGTCTGAGACAATCACAGCACTCTAGGCAACAGACGGTACATTCAGAAATGTAGACATCGTATATATTATTTAGAATAACACAGTCGTTTCATTCAAGTTCAGTAAATCCAACATGACGAATGTGGATCTTTGGCTGACTTCACCAGAAATGAATTGCCGATTTTGTCATCCCATCACACACACTATGACGATACAGAGATGCCTTCACACACAAACGTAGTCTAGTGGGCTCTGTATTGCATTAAATGATTGCAAAACAACTTTAAGATTACATCAAGCGAGTGCAAATAAGGCATAATGCATCACACATTCACACAACAAATGATAGCAGCATCAAATAAAAAATGAACGCAATCAACAACGTACAACAGAAAACGGTTATCTGCTCGTACAGATACACCTGGAAGATATTTATCCGTATATTATAATTCATGTACACAACTTCAACTGAAACATGATGCATTTAATAAGTGTCTAGTTTAACTGGAGGAGCGCAACACACACTTCAGTGCGCCATTGGAGTAATTGTACATGGGTTCATTTGATGCCAAAGAAATGTAAAGATTTCAGGCATACCACCGTGCTTACAGGCAACAATGCAAAGTGTATGATACATAAGGATAATTATATACCCGTTTGATGATGATGATGATGATGATATTAATTTATATTTGGACACCACATTACTATTTGATTATCTGTGTAAATGCATATAGAACATCCACTTATATCACTACAGAAACTGCGGGTCAATCTTTACATGTCCATGTTACTGTGTGTTCACATTCTGATCATAACGGACAACATGTATTTATGTGTAATTATTTGGTGGAGCTGCTGAGTTTGAGTTTGATTTCGCTGGGATTTTGATTGACAGGCGATCTGACCAATCATAACACTGAATCATTGATGGATTTGAGCTTGAAAAATTGTGTGTATTTGATGCAACATACCTTCTGATGTTTATTTGCTGCTATAACAAGAAGTAAATTGGAAGAGATGATCGTTTTACCTTAAAGAGTTACAAAACGGTATTTATTATATGAATTACACTGTAAAAATGAATATGCTTTATCTAATCAATAGAATTATGGCAACAGATTACAAGCAATATTATTAATTAAATTGAACAAATTAGAATTGAGTAATAATTAATCAAATTTTATTTTATTCCTTAAAAGTTAACCATTTAAAACGAGTAAAGTTCACACCAAAAATTGTAACAAAAATATCTCACTAATAGACAGACGTCAAAGATTAATTAAGAACTATTTATTTTATATGGCCAACATTGAAGACACCTGATGTTAACAAGCAGAATCACTGAAGCAGAAAACCGTCATTTTAAAACAAACACTGATCACCATAATGGTGACTTAAATTTATGTTTTTTTGGTTGTTGTTGTTGTAAGTTTTACTCATTTTACATGGTTACCTTTTAAGGAATTAATTTGATTAAATATTACTCGATTCTAATTTGTTAAAATTTAATTAATAATATTTCTTGTAATCTGTTGCCACAATTTTTTTGATTAGATAAAGCATATTCATTTTAACAGTGTAATTCATATAATAAATACCGTTTTTAACAGTGTACTGTCCTAAAGTGGAAAACGATTTGTCAATTTGTGTTGTTGCACTCAGACTTTTTCTGTGATGAAAATGTGTGTTCTTCATAAGGCGTTTCTGTAGTTTTACTGATTTTAAAATCACTGCATGTACTGGATATTATTATTTTGCTATAACTATTGTATTGTTTGCCTCAGTATTTCATCATTTTTGTAAGTGTTATCAGATTTTATAAATGATCAGAGATTGTAGTTTTACTGTGACTCCACTACTGTGGTTATTTGTATAGGAATCCTGCATATCTGGCATTCAAACAGCAACTACAGTTGTACATCCATCCTTCCATCTTCTACTCCTGTTTTATAGGGCCACAAAGGATTGTTGGTACATGTCCCAGCATGCCTCACAACCCTAGACAACTATAATGCACTGCCCAGTTCAGTTAATTGTACAGTACAGTGTGTTGTAAACCACTATATAGTTAGTTTTACAACTTGAAGGGAGAATGAGCCGCAACAAGGTGATGGAAAAAAAATGAGATGGGAAGAAAATTTATATTTCTAAAATTAATAATTTTATTAATTAATTTAATTAATTGTGCACTGAAATATGGTTGTATGCATATATTGTCATACCTAAAGCATGTGCACCACTGATAAGTGATGCTCTCATAAAGCGGCCTCTCTAACAGCTTGCGAGAACCAAATTAACCAAATTTTTCATAGCTTATTGCACTTAAATGGGCAAATACATGCAACATTATGTCCAAATGCCAGTCTTGCTGAGTATTGAGGTAAATACATTCAGTTTTGAAAATAAATAGTTGAGAAACAGACATGTTGTGTATCAGTATATTGGATTGGTGCATTCGCTCGGCCTAATAAACCAGCAGCCGTCTGTCATTAATGTTCATCAAAAAACAGATAAAATCACTCACTGGTCTTATTATTTACAATGAAAACTATCCAGTGTAGTTTTACATTTGATAACTTTAATTTCTGTAGTGAATACTGTTAGACCCACCTGAAAAACGTAAAGGGATACTCCACTTTTTGTTTGGAAATAATGGTGTAATGATATGACGCAGCACCTGAAAATAGGCTAATACCGAGGTGGGGACTATTTTCATATCATTACGCCTGCTGCACTCATGGTACGGCAGTAAAGTTTCTTGATTATTACGCAGGAATGAGAGTATAGTTCCTAGAAAATCGCAACGTTACATTTTCCGTCGATCTTAAGACCTGTTCACACTGGGACGAATTTCGACGTTTAACGCCTTGTGACTAAACAAAGGGCGCCAATGTGAGTGTGCACACCAACGCGCAAAACACCACGAGTAAAAGCGTCATTTTTTTTAAAACGCCTCTGGTTTGTTATTTTAGTTTGACGCGCTGCGTCAAAAACTATCCAATTTTGCTCACGTGTTTGGAGCTTGTGAAGTTACAGTAAAACACAACTTGGGGGCGCTCAAACACAAAACGGTCTTTCCGAGCACACATATGCAACAGCGAAGAAGATATACGCCAAGTAGCGTCGCCGTCTACACAGCCAGGAAGAAATAAGACGAGGAAGATGCGAGGCAAGATGAATGTAGAGCTGCTGTTCTCGTTTGTGTTAGAACATAAAGAGCTATATGACAAACGCGACTGCGACTACAAACATCTTGATAAAAGAAAACTGATATGGAGTGGTATTGCAGAGCAAATTGGCGCCATCTAATGTCAGGGAATGAATTTGCATGTTCACTCGGCTCATCGTCAGCGAAAATCGCTTGGGTGTGAACACAAAAAACGCGTTGAAAAACGCTGGCGAATAACGTGCGCTGATATTCGTCCCGGTGTGTACGGGCCTTTAGTGCACGATGTAACTACAAAAGAGTCAAGTTTTAAATAGGAAAAATATCAAAACTCTTTGGTCATTTTTTTTTTTTTTTGAGAAATGCTAATGGTCTTGTCTACTTCAATGATGTATGCTAAGCTATGCTAAAAATGGCACCGCCAGAACCGGAGATCGGCTGAATGGATTCGAAAACGGTAAAACTCAACAGTTTAAAGGCCATTGCACACCGAGTCCGAAATTCGCATCCGAAATTTTCGCACGATAAAAAAAAAATTCGACCTCACGTTATGTCAGTCACGCTTGCACACCGCCTCCGAAACTTTCGTCCGTCATAAAATTAATCGGATCGGGTTCGATTTTCTGCGTTTTTCGCATCCAGAGCCAGCATTTTGAGAGGTCTTTTGACAATTCAGGTCCGGGGGGAGCTCGTCCTCAAATCATTGCACATATGCGCCGTGCTTTCAGTTTTCAATTCGATCAAGTGTTTATGTTCTCTTCTCTATATTGGATTATGAAATTAATAAACCTCCCCTTTCAATCAGATTGAAATTTAGGATCGAATAAGGTGTGATTGAGCAGCCTATTCGATAACTAATGTATTATTTGGGCACAACAACATACACAATAACAGCCTAGCTGTTCTGTCTGCCCAGCGCTTCCAACGGGCCGCGCGCGGGTGTGTGTTTGTCCGTGTGTGTGTGTCCATACCTGGTCCATTTCAGACACACTGCCAGTCTCCGTTCAGAATCGATTGGTTCACGGAAATTGGTGGTCTTGTTTTTAATATGTGGCTCCAGAATCGCTAGCAAAACATCAAACTGTCCCACTGACATTCTGAGGTAAATTTTGAATCGCTCAGGATAAATTCGCAACTCCTTGATCAGGATCTCTCTTTCCTCTCGGCGCAATTTCAGGATTGGATGGACGTAATTTTTCTCTTTCTTCCCTTTTCAATAAGAGAGAGGGCAAAAATCATCCTCACTGCTTGACGAATCCATTTGGTATTTTTGCGTTTTTTCCCGCAAAGGTTTAAGAAATACGCAACGGACTCGGTGTGCAAGGTTTCTATGCGTGACGAATTTTTAAGCTGACGAACACGAAAATACGCATACGAATATTTCGTGCTCGGTGTGCAATGGCCTTAACTCTGGGGGAGTGGTAAAATGAGCGTATTTTCACAAAAAAAAAAGTGGAGTATCCCTTTAAAGCTGTGTTTATTTCATTTATCTCTAATGTATTTACTATTTGTTAATTTTTTCTTATGTTATTACTGGCTGTTTACTTTGTAAATATAGTTCAACGATTAAAATAAACGACTTCTTATGCTGTGTTAAGTTGTTAAAACTGATACAATTGGCTTTATGCCCAGCTGCACTACTTCCTGAACTTCAGCCAGCTCCTTGTTTCCTGTCTGCCATTATTGGCCAAATTGATTAATTCAGGTGTGTCTGATTATTGTTGCCATGACTACTGAGGTCAGGTACACCTGAATTAATCAATTTGGCCAATAATGGCAGACAGGAAACAAGGAGCTGGCTGAAGTTCAGGAAGTAGTGCAGCTGGGCATAAAGCCCATTATCTGTATTATGCCAGTTTAGTCTCGAAAATGGTATCGAATATCTATATTTTTCATGGTATCGTATCGAAGTTGGAAATTCCACAGACAGCGACATAGTGTCGCATCTGGTACACGTCGAATCCACATGTCTGGGCCGACACTACGTTGCTTTCTGGGTCCAGTATCGTTACAACACTAATTTCTAACAACTAAAGTTTTTCTAAAGCTAATTTTCTCTGGTGGGAACACAAAATTTTTGCAAGCGAACTTTCTTGTGGGAATGAAAAAGCATTGAAATGAAATTTTCCTCCCATCTCATTTTGTTTTTTACCCTCATCACGTCACTTTATGGGCTCCATAAGTAAGCTACTGTTGATGTTACACAAAATCATTCAATTTACTGAAGGGATTAATCACAGTAACATTACCGTACGTGTATCGTGAAGTGCTACTAAATTCCCCAAATGAGAAACATGGATTACAAAACGTGGATTCTACGTGCTTTAAAGATGTGTCATTACCGCGACTGCTACACGTCGCTGGGCGTCCGTGGTCGCATGGGGAATCTGTAAGGCATGCATCCACAACAAGCAATCCTCAAAGACCTGAGTATTTCAGGGTTCCTGAAGGCATAAATCATGGGGTTGATGATGGAGTGGCAGATTGCTGGAAGAGCCGTGGCGTAGGTGTAGATCACAGGCGATCGAGTGTCCGCCACCAGCGAGTACATGGCAAGAGGGATCCAACAGAACGCAAAGGTTCCCAAAATGGTGGTCAAGGTCGAGACGCCTTTCGTGGTGGAGGTCGAGTGCGAAGCGCTCATGAATTGACGCTGTACTGCGATTTGCTGAGCGTGCCGGAACGCGATCTTGCAGATCTGAAGGTACAACTGCAGAATCAGAGCGAATATCAGGAGGAAGGACACGGCGAGCGCCGCGGCGTTGCTTTTGTTGACCGGTCGACAGATGCTACACGTGCTTTCGTCGTCCAAACAGTTCCAGCCCAGGACCGGGAGCGACCCCAGCAAAGTGCTGACGACCCCACAACAGGACCAGCGTGACGTAGGTGAACGTCACCGTGCTCTCGGTGTGGTACGACAGCGCGTTGTACAGCGACAGGTAGCGGTCCACGGTGATAGCCAGGATGTTGAGCACCGAGGCCGAGAAGGCGGTGATGAGGAGCCCGGCTGACAGTAGCGTCACCACTTCGAATCAATTATGTAGGTCACGACGAAATTGAGGATTAGGCTCAGGCCGGCCAGGAGGTCTGCGAACGCCAGACTCCCGATGAGGACGAACATGGGAGCTCTTAAAGTGGGCGTGTAGGAGATCAGAGCGATCACAACCGCGTTCTCGCACGACATGAGCGTTCCCGTCACGCACAGGAGGACGTCCCACGGGTTGAGGACCATGGGAACCGGCTCCAGGTCCCAGGATGGGACGGGCGACGTGTTCCTTCCCTCCAGCACATCCCAGTCGAACAGAGACGCGTTCAGGAGGAGGTTACTCATAGCTACTGCAGGAGGGCGAATCACTGCAAATCAGACAGAGTCACACGTTAGATCAGACACGCTGTTACGGAAACCATTAGGCAGGGGTGTAGAACTGAGGGCGAATCACTGTTTATTCTTAATTTAACCAGGAGAATCACGTTAAGATACTGCTATCTCTTCGTCCAGAGAGACCTGGTACCAATAACACAATTTACACATTCAAAAATTCAAGAAATAATAGCAAATCAAGAAAAACAATTGCAAGTGTCCTCCTTACACATAAAGATCAGAGCTCAGGTCTGCGGGAAACACTTGGCAACGCTGATGGTTTTTAATGGTGTGTTTAGTGGAAACCATTAGAACTTGTGCATTGACCTTATTTGAGATGAATCATGTCTTCAGCTCAAATTGAATTTGATTCATTATTGATCAATGTAACTGTTATCTGTTTATTATTGTGAAACTGCGTTAAGGAAGCGCTACAGCAATGAATGTGACTTGATTTACCTTGACTAAAAAAATATCCCAGACTCCACAACTGATCTGACACAGATTTCTTCAAAAGAGGCAGAGGGGGAGCTATTTTAGCCCTCTGCATGTCAAATAAGAGGCTGTGCTTAACTGAGGCATTTCTACCGCTTCTGAGCTGCTAATCAAGCTGAAGTGAGGATATCAATACACACTGTTGTATAAAACACAATATGTCACAAACAAAGACTGGCACTGACCACTGAGCGCGCGCGTGTCTCCATCCCTCGTCCGTCCAGTGAAGATGAAGAATAGATGAAAGCGTCCCGTGACACGCGCATCTTTGTGGGATTGAGGGTGAATTGGGCTTCTGTTGTTCTTGTTGTTGTTGTTTATTGATCGTTGATCCTCGGTGTGTTACCTGGGCAGCGCTCGCTCAGCCTTGGCTTGTCATTCTGATCAGAAGCGTTGGCAGTTCACAGACGAGCGCCTGCTTGTTCGCATCTGATTGGTCGCTGAGATGACTCGCGCGGCTGACGTCAATGGCTTGTGGTACAGGAGAACAGACTTTTCTTTCTCATTCACAACGACACACACCTACACTGCGAACGCGACGCGAGGCGGAAACGATCGCGACGCGATGAATTCATTTTGAATTCCAGACGGTCAGACCAGTCCAAAACTTCAGTGGAAGAAACTATGAAACATTCACACATAGGCGAGATAACGATAACGAGATAACGAGTTTTCTGTTTAAATAGGCTATCATTTACAATGTAATTTATTCCTGTGATCAAAGCTGAATTTTTTCATTATTACTACTCCAGTCTTCGGTGTCACATGATGATCCTTCATAAAATGATAGGAAAACGCTGATTTTGTGCTCAAATATTATTAGTGCTCAATAATGGTTCTATTATTAATAATAAAACAATGTCAATGTTGAAAACCATTTGTGCATGCTTACTATTTTTGTGGAAACCGTGATACATTTTTGTCTGGATTCTAAAAGAACAGCATTCATGGTTTCCACAAAAATAAACAAAAAAAAAACTGTTTTCAACATTGCTATTATTAAATGTTTACTGAGCATAAAATAATCATATTAGAGTGATTTCTGTAGGATCATGTGACATTGAAGACTGGAGTAATGATGAAAATTCAGCTTTGATCACAGAAATAAATTACACTTCACTATATATTCACTTAAAAACAGTTATTTTAAACTGTAACAATATTTCACATTATTACTGTTTCCTGTATTTTTAGCAAGTAAATTACAAGAAACATTACAAATCTTAATGTTTCCAAATATACTGATACTTTTTTATTGCAAAAACACAGTACAAATCACATCTCACAAAACGTAACAAAATATACATTACAATATACAAAAATATAACATCTAAACAAATTCAAAACAGTTTCGTCAGGGGAAGCCATTACAAAGGAAAAAAGGACCATATGTTGACAGTTTTAATTGCCTTTTTGTTGTTGGAGCCAGAAATCAGCTTAATATAATGTACAACTTCGTTGAAAAAAAGTACAAAATTGGGTTTTTTAGCACTGAATTTACATTTATGAACATGAAATTTCGCCAAAATAATTAACAAATTTATAATGAAGTACGTCTTTTCTTTACTATGACTTCTATAAAAGCACAAAACAACATCCTTCCAAAATAAAGCAAAGTCTTTATAAATATGGTCAATGATGAATCTGCTGAGCCAAATATACTGATATTGTAAAGTACTTTCTATCGTCATTTTATAGCGTCAGCGACTTACAAGTCTTCCTATTCGCTCTTGACACATGCACTTGCATTATTTTAGTAACATCAAATCCTCCATCATCTTACTATACATTTTGACAAAATGATCTCAAATTTAGTCTTATTCTCTAAATCGAGAATTACCATACAGACAAATTCAATAACACATATTCAGAAGAGACATCCATCCATACACCAACTATGAAGTTTCCACAATTAATGCGAATAACCACAAAAAAACAAAACAAAACAAAAACATTTAGCTTGACAACCTCTTGTCTATAAACCCCAGCAATGGGAACAGATGTTTGTTCTGAAGTGCGCATGCGCGGGTGCTGGCCATGGTGCTGGTGCAGTTCCTGGGCTCTACGGCAGATGGCAGCACTCACACATTCAACTACAACAAGACTCTGGTGATGGAGAATCTGCAAACGTGACTCTACTTGCATCACCTTCTTTTCTTTTTCTTTTCTCAGCGATATTTAGGATGAATGCCACATTCAACCTTTTTTTAAGACGTCACAATCAACGTAGCCTACAAAGATATGAGTTTAATTCCTAGAGAAAGCATGAATATGAACATGCATTTGCTTCAGATAAACGTGTCCACCAAATGCCTGCGTAACACACTTTATCTACATTGTCAGTTATGTCATACCTTATGGAAAATGAAATATTGCAATTTCGGCTTATCCTTTTCCAGCATTTGTTTGATGTATCAGATGAATATTTTAGTATAGGCTGCATTATTTTTGGATAGATTTCACACATCCCAAATATTGGGAGGAGAATTAATCAAGCTGAGTATATCCCACAATTTTAACATGTTAAGTAAAAACAAATGTTTGTCTAGTGTGCAATGGCCTTTAGCCTACTTAAGAGGTTTTTTTTTTCATGATCTAATTTCAAGACAGCTCTCAGAATAGTTTTAGCATTTAATTTAGCCTACTAGATGCACAGACTGTTAGCATGAATGCACTGTAAAAGATTTGTTATCACAACATTTTTTCTTTTGTCAAATCAACTTAAATAATTTATTTAGTTGAGATAACTTATTATTTTGAGTTTCTGATGATTAAATTAATCTCCTTCATTGTATTAACTCACTTTTTCCAGTTCAATCAACTTAAAATTTTAAGGCAACCAGGTTACTTACTATTTTAAGTTAAACCAATAATATTTTTTTACAGTGTGGTTGGAGTTGCGATTGACTTCTGAATGAAGATATTGTGCCAAACTCCTGATGTTGTCCTTGATTGTGTTGTGGATGAGCGAGTCCTCTCTCTCCTGGATGAGCACATGGCTGGTTGTGGGTCAAGGCCTGCTGAAGGAGAAGGCCAAGAGAGGGAAGGGCTAGAGCATCACAGTCCCGCCCACAGCCCGAGAGAGCGTTGGTGCCGGTGTTCTGACAATTCATGCTACCCATCGAGATTTGCTACTTACCAGTTATGCGCATGTGTAGACTCCGTTTTTTTTTTTTTTTGTTTTTTTTTTTTTATAAAAGGTACATTGTTACCTGTTATAATGTATAATTTCCCTTTAAAAAATGCTTACTATCATATGAATATTTGTACGGTCAGCCAGCTGAAAAGGAATAACTGAAAGTTTCAGTTACTATGAGGAAAGGTGCTTAAAAGTAAAAACAGTAGTCTACACAGTATACAGTAGCTACTCAAAACTTAGAATTGTATTATAATTGTATTTCATACGACTTTAATCGGCATTCTGTGATCAATTCGCGCTACATTTTTCGACAAGGCAGCAAAAATTGGCAGAACACCAAAAGTAAATTGCCCATTCATTTCTCCCATTGACGTGATTTTAGAAAAACTTGCATTTTTCTGGGAGGACTGTAAAGTCTAAGTCATTAAATGAGGATTAATAAGATATAAGACACAACACAGGTGGGGTTACATTAACTAGATCTCCCATAAAGCATGCATGAAACAAATACTAATGCAAGAGACAGTATACAAGACAAAATCATCACACGATGTCCTTGGATGCATGTTCATTTATAGATCAGTTTGAATATTAATGAATGCAGGATAGTCTGGTTTAGGTCTTTCCTATGGCCTTAATCGTGACCACATTATTAACAGCAATAAAACCATCTTATCTGATGGTATCATGGTTCTTGCCCTAGTTGGGATGGGACCATTTTAAAGATTATTTGTTTAATATAACAAATTATGTGTGATTTGTCATTACAGTGTCGCATCATCTTACAGGACTTTATTTCTTACAAGCATCCCCAATGATACACAGACATCAATACATCAATACCATAATAATGACACTCAGAAAAAAAGAAGAGAAACTCTGAATAGTACAAAATAAACTGCTAAAAGTGAACCAACAATAAGTTCAGCAGCACAGATAACAAAACTATTATAATAATAGTTTTAAATGAAATTAAATAATCTATTCATGCCGCATTGCATGCTGGGTACCTTTATAGTAAATGCACTGTAGAAATACAGTATGATTTTGTTTGTTAACAGTAATTGTTTTGTGCTAAACTCACAGTCAAACTAAGCTTTTTCACAGTACATTTGTAAAAACTTGACTACAATTGTCAGTAAAGTACTGTAGATTTTACAATACATTTCTGAGAGAAAAGAGAAGTCTTACCGTGGAAATAATGCAATTAATACCCTGGAATATTTCACACTAATATTTTAACATGAAGCAGATCAAGACATTTACGATCTGTTGATCCCCTGGATGTTGATATTTTTTTTTTTGTTTATTTTTTTTTAACAGAATAGATGATGACTTTGTGGTAATGCAACAGTTTCATTATCATGAACATGTATGTTTGTTGGGCCATAAATTCAGAAAAAAGCTTTTCAACCTTGCTTTGGTGTTGCCACACCTCGAAATCCTCATGCCAGCCTATAAATAATTTTCTATATCTGCCCCTGAAAACAGGAAGGGTGTTATCATTTCTGCATACATCGCCAGATTTTGATGAAATGTCAGCTGTATGTCTATTGTGGGTCAAAGTCATGTTTTCTTCATGCCTTAAAATATCTTGAATGTAACTCGACACCCCTGCCTCATTTAGTATGTGCGGTTCTTTGAATATGGAAATGAGCTCCGCCTCCACTCACTCACTCAGCTCAGAGATCCACCGGTTGACGATCACACGTTGATCTGAAAAAGCAAAAATAAGTGAAATAATTCATAAATAAATACTTTAGGTGTCATAAAGTCAAGGAAAAATAGACTAATTTCAAATTAAACAATAAATAACAAACACCCAAGGAGAAGTTGTGGTGGTTGGGTGTTGTCCTAATTTCACACTGTGTGGTTTCAAGTCCTCTCCAGGTGCTTTCTTGACCTTCGCCGTGACCTCAACCCGATGTTTAAGCAATCTAGAAACCATGTTTCCTGTCACTGTCCGCTTGAGCAAATGTGCTTCCTCTATTGGAAGGGAGTGTCTCCTGCTTCAGTTGTGGGTTTGGTGACAGTTATTAGACACACGATAAGAGGGTGGGCCGTGAAGCACTGAAAACATGCAAAACATTGACAACATTGGAGAAATTTAGCTTGCACTTTCCTTGTAGCTAGTATGTCTAAAGTGGTTAATAAAAATAAAACATTGCCGCAATTTATTTACTGTGAATTCATGGATTATCATACACTGAAAAAATGGAAACATCTAATGATTTTATTCAAGTAAAAATATTAAAACATCATTAAACCAGCCTATATACATCAGTTTATATCAACAAAATGATTTCATGGATTAAATCAGGTTGAAATATATGTCTTGAACATTGGGGGACCAAGTTTTATTTATTTATTTATTTATTTATGTACTTATTGTTATTGCGATATTGGCCTTTTTAATTAAATGAATTAAAAGATTAAAAGTGATTTAAGGGAATAAAGAATAATAAAGAAAAGTTCCAGGTTTATTGTAGGCTAGTTGTTTTTAAACTAATTGTTTTATTTATTTACATTCACTCTTATTCATATATCTAATACGTTAAAAACGCAGAATGTTTCATGTTTCTACATAACTCAAGTGTGTAAATAATATATAGCACGTTTCCAATTCAAAACGATGACGTTTTATTGAAAAGTTGAGTAGTTTGCATCACTAGATATAACTGTCGGTCATTGAACATTTCTGGCGTAAAAGTGATCAGATATTAAATGTTTAGCTACATGCATCTTGCCACACACTCTTGTGTGATTAGTGGCGTAGGAACTGTCCCTCTTAATATCCATGAGGTCACGGCCCTGCTTTGAGTTTGATCACTCTCTTGATTCTCAGCATAATATCAGTTTATGTTTATAAATATCTGCACAATACAAAAATGCAACAAAATGTGTTGTGTATAATTCACCCAAAATAAAAATGACTGTGAGAAAAAATCTAGTTTTTAGAGTTTGTGTCAGACATTATACTACTATATACAGTATAACGTTGAATATAATGTATAATAATGCAATGAGGAAATATTTGTGGTCCTGATAATGCCAGATGTCTGATGTTACCTGTAAAAGTGTCCACATTATTCTAAATATAGTCAGTGACAGAGATCATCATCTACATTAATTCAGTGTTTTCAGCTTCAGAATATTGTTATTCTGGTTCAGTATTGTGATGTGTATCGAATCTTGACATTGACCCCTACTTAAATGTGTTCTTTTTTCTCAAATTATTTTTCACTTTTATTTATGCTTTGGTTCAAAGCTTAAATGTTGATTTAATATTAATCAACAATTTTAGATTTCAGACAAAAATATTTATACCATGTCAATGCAAGGTCATGGGTTCAATTCCCAGTGAATGTATGAACTGATTAAAAAATGTATTTTTGCAATGCTTTGGATAAAAGCGTCTGCCGTATGCATAATGTAAAAAGATTATTTCTTATAAAGATCATACATTTCATATTTGTTGTTACTTGATGTAGATTAATATATTTTTTGTGGCTATTTACAAGGAAAATCCATATAAACAGAGTAACACATCCATACATTAGTGAATTTTTGATAAAACTAAAAATATTTTAATATAAATAAAACTAAAAATATTTTAAGAATCTTAGTTTACATGCAAGACATATTTGAAAGACCTTACTTGTGATGTATTTTTAGAATGTGCATAGTAAAAAAAAAGTTTAATAATTCACAATAAAACACTTTACATAAATAAAATAACATGGTCGTTTTACTATTTCCAGTATAGGGTGAAATATATTCAAGTGTGAAAGATGTAGTAGGGTACCGGGACATGCTCTGGAGATGTCCAATCCTGGAGGCTTTCTGGAAGTATATAATTGAAATAATGTCTGACATATCAAATATCTTGATCCAAAATAATATATTAGCCTATAAGAGCAAAAGTGTGACTATTTTTTTCGGGACCATTTTAATCTATTCGAATCATGTCCATGATTCTTTGTGTTCACAAGTGGCAAAACCTTCGTTTCGTACTATTCTAATGAAGTAAAAAAAAAAAAAAAAATTAATCAGTGAAAGGTATGCAACATGTAATGCTTGCCTTACTTCAATCTTGTATGGTCATGTGACCCAGGGTGACGAATCTCACTAGATGGCGGGAGAGTTCGAGGTAACGTATAAACAGAATAATTCTCAAGTTGTTTTGTTTGATTACACACATTTATTTCATACATTTCATATGAAGTTTGGTAAGAAAAGAATGAACAAGAGACGGCAGGTTTTGTCTTAACCCTCTGGTGCTGTTCCGGTAGTTTTGGAGCGGAAAATTTTACGTTTAGATACTTTTTTTTACTTCCGCGTGGTACAAAACTTGTTAAATGTTTTGGTACTTGCTGTGTGAACACAAAAAAATATGGACGTTATTCGAAAAGGTTGAACTGGCTTGAAAAAAAAAATAGTCACACGTTTGCTCTCCTCGCCGTCAAAAATCTTTTAAAATGAGCGCATTGGAAATGTCACTGAAAGATCAGTTTTTGAGGGATCGACCGCAAATTTGGAACACAACTTAGATTCGTTGCTTAAATATGATAGATTTTCGAGTAAAACGTCTTTTGGAAAATATATATTTCACATAAAACTTAAAAATGGTACTTTTGTGCGTTTTCCATAATCATAAACTTAAACGTCTATAACGTTTTTATTTTCACTCTTTTAACATAAACCCGCTAAAAATACAAAACATTAAATAAAAAAATAACTGAACTAAAATATAGTACATTTATTTCATTAGAAAATAATTATTATTTGGTTGGTAACATTTGACTTGAAAGGAGTGTGCATAAGAATGACATGACATAATCATGACGACACATCATTAATATGAATGAGGTTTTATGCTGGTTTATGACAACTGTCATAAAGTGTCATTCGCTCAATTATGACATTTTTAATGCAAATATGGCATTGTTTGAGATGTCTTTATGGCACCTTGACATTACTAAGACAACACAACCTGTCATAAACACGACATAGCAGATTAATAATCAAACTTAGCTTTATTGGCTTTACTTGGCATTATATCATTTTAATGACAAATTCAATGTGTACCACTGTAGTTGAGGTCATGACACAGTTATAATGGCCTCATGACAGCCAATGTCAAAACCAACCACATGACAGTTTAATCATGTAATGTTAACCCATAAAGCTAAGTGCTTTCTCAAGTTGATAATTAATCTGCTATGTCATGTTTATGACATATTTATGACAGGTTATGATGTATTGGTTTCATAACAATAATGTCATATTTGCATTAAAAATGTCATAATTAAGTGAATGACACTTAATGACAGTTGTCATAAACATGCATACAACTTCCTACAGTACATGTGTCCTGTCATGTCTATGAAGGTGTCATGTCAGTCTTGCACATATGGTTCAAGTAAAATGTTACCAATAATTTTTTTGAGGGTTAAAGTTGAGCAGAGAGCGAACAAACAATATATATATATAAAGCATATTTTAAAAACGTCATTATAAAATGCTAAATTGCTTGCAACAAATATTTATCACATATCGCAATTTGCAGCAAATACGCGTAATTCCTGTTGTAAGCACACTGCGTTGTCACTGTAACGTTCCAGGTGATAATAATGATAATATAATATTATAATAATACATCCACTATCTGACCCTCACACCGAAAGTAAAACCTCCTGGTCGAAACTCGCAATCATGCATTGCCACACTAAATATCACCATCAAGTTTTTACAATCAAATGCACTTGTTATGCAACTGAGTTGTGTAATACGGACTGATTATATATTTCACACCTCTTCAAACATGCACTCACACCACCTCTGTTGCTGAAATGTGGGAAATGCAGAACAATGGCAGTGTTTCGCAGTCGTCCTGAAAACGGGTGAAACACGCTTCAGATCCGCAGCGATGTTTCATGATCTGTTTAACTTGATACCAACAGCTTTTGGTCTTAATGTTACACAACATTATTTGGTTATTCTAATTATAGGGTTATAGGATTAGGGTTTGTTGCATGTAATTATGCATAATTTACTGTTATAAGTAACATATGTAACAAGGACACTGTAAAATATAGTGCCGTTTCTATGTGGTGTTGTGTTGTCAATGCATCTGATTATTAGAGTAATTGCTAATCCATATGCGTAGCTGCAATTTGATTCATAATACGGATTACAGTGTGTGTTGCAGTGGATTTTAGAGTCTATTTCGCTGCGTGACTGTCCTCAGCTGAGCATCTATGTGGATTCTGGTGCTTTTGACAAGCAGCACTGTGAATTTTGCAGTGTCTCTTGAGGATTTGGTGTTTATATAATCTCTCTCTCTCTCTACGCAGCATTCAACGAACTTGAACTCGGAGAGGAAGCAAGCAGCCCACTTCCTATCGTCATGGCAACAGCATGTGAATGCGTTGAGCCAGAGAGAGAGAGAGAGAGAGGGAGAGTGGGAACAGCATCCGAAGGCACGGCTCCGTCTCCAGAGCGAATGACAGGTAAGACGGGGAACGGTTGGGTTTGATCGTCCTCAGGTCTCTGGGAAATGTCCTTTACCGCATTTAAAGGTTGGTCGATTTCATGCCTTAGCGTGTGACGCTCGTCCTCTGCGGCAATACTGTGTGTTTCGGCGAAGTGACCTCCGACTTTGGCCGTGCAATGACAGTAACACTTTCTAAATTCATGGTTTTTCATTAGCATTTTAATTTTGCATATGTATTCCAACATGGCAACTTGTGTCATGCACATCAGGATGGTTATGAACATACATTTTTCTGGTTGTGAGTAGCAACGTCACAATGCACATGCAACAGCATGTGAGTAGCAAGATGTGTGTGTTCGTCAATGTTTTGTTTGAAGGATCCTTATGGTGATAGTAGGTTCGTGTGGTCAGGGATGCTGCTTATCATCCGCACAGAGCGACAGGTTGTCTAGGTTTGAGATCCCAGCCATTGAAAAGCATTAGCTATCATTTTCTGATCTAGTATGTAGTTGTCCTGATGTTTGGGACGCTCTACAGGTCTTCGTTTTTAGATTCGCTCCATCTTTTCTGTATTCTTCGTCATTTTTCCTTTTATGGCATTTTAATGTCCTTTTATTCACATACTGTGTCTGAGACATTGTTTTTATTTTTAATCATATTTTACTATAATTGTATGTTTTGAAATGTAATTAGCATTGGGCTTGACTCTGTTATATAATGGATTCGGTGTTTGTTGATGGTGTATGGTGGGTTTGGCTGTCTGAGACACTTTGAATAAATTACACGAATAAATTTACTTTTTTTTTTTTTTAAATTTGAATAAATCATGAGTCATTCCAGTGAAAGCAGATTGCAGATATTCTGTGCGATCATTTTGTTTTTGTTATTTTTTTTCCAGCAATGACGTGTAACATGACATCATCACTTAAATAATATTATATTAACCCCTTAACTGTCACACACCCCCATTATACTAAATTAACCCCCCCCCCCCCCCGCACACACACAGACACCGTTTTAAGTAATGTACTAAAAAACATATTTTATACACAATATGTATTTTAGAAGAAAAAAATTATCTAAAATCTATGGAAGCTTGTTAATGCCTCAGAATAAAACAATTTTAAAAGATAACTGCGTCACATTTCTTACTTTTTATTTTTCTGCCTTTTTTTCTCTCACAATTTCGATTTTATATCTTGCAATTCTGACTTATTTTCTCAGAAGTGCATTATATAAAATCGCAATTGCCTCCGAATTGGACTTTGTAACTCACAATTGCAACTTTAAATCACGCAATTCTGACTTTATAACATGCAATTGCGAGCTTATATCACATAATTATAGTCAGAATTGCAAGAAAAAGCCAGAAATGCGAGAAAAAGCCAGAGATGCGAGCTAAAAAGCCACAATTATTATAACTACTCAGTGGCGGAAACCAGCTTCCATAAAAGCTATATGTCTAACCAAGTTGCTTTCCAAATTTAAACTTGATATCACAAAAATGTAAGCTCCCATGAGATTTTATTTAGGTGCTCACATTCTATTGAATTTTTTATACTTTTTGCAAGTTTTTTGCATTTCTATCACAATATCACTTCCATCACAAAACAATCCCCAAACATGAAACCTTGAGTCTCAGGCCTTTCCAATGATACGTTTTTCCAAGATTAGAAGATTTGATTATAAAAAATGCTGTAAATTTTGTAATATGAAACATGACCACGCCCACTAGAGAGGGAGGAGCCAGATAAAAGGAATTTTAGTTCTGTTTCCATGGTAACGCGGTGTCCGATTTCAAAGTGCTTTAACGGGTTGGATACTGAGGGTGTGGGCTTTCGAATGATACCTAATTTATGATAATTACGGTTATAAAATATGTGATAGGGAAGGGGTTAATAATTAATACGTTTATTTCGGCCCTTGCTGCACAAAAAGGCTGATATAAAGAAAATAATTCAGAAGATGTCTGTTTTATTTCTTTTATTACCCACTTTCAGAAAAGATAACCACTGAGGCCAGGCTGTTTCTGATAAAAAGATGATACAGAGGAGGGCCTTGTAACTCTAACCTGAGCATTACCCGTCCTTACTGAGAGTGCAATGTTGGATGAAATGACGTGGTGAATTCCTACATTGTGTATCATACAGAAAACGCACAACCTTTTCATTTTGCATGGCGTTCTGTTGTCCTTCGCCACTCGTGACGGCTTCTGAGAGCAATAATCTTAATGTGTAAATGCAGTTGAGATTTCTCTGGAGTCTCTATATGGATGAACAGGTAACGGTTGCCATGGCAAACACCCACTCATGTGCCAAACTAAGACCGACATGGGCAGATTTTAAAGCATTTGGACTATGATGTCACCCAGTGATATTTTTAGTGAGAAAGATTATTTTATTGGTAACACTTCACAATAAGGTTTCGTTAGTAACATTAGTTAACTACTACACTAGTTAGCATGAACTCATAATGAGCTGCACATATTTATTAAACAGCATTTATTCATTTTTGTTCATGTTAATTTGAACATTTACTAATAATACTTTATTAAAATCTTGTTAATGCACTAACATGAGCAAACAATGAACAGCTTTATTTTTATTAACTAACATTAACAAAGGTTAACAAATACACTAACAAATGTATTGCTCATAGGAGTGAAACCCGAAAAATTAGAATATCGTTCAAAAGTTCATTTATTTCAGTAATTCCACTTAAAAGGTGAAACTAATATATTATATAGACTCATTACGTGCAAACGTGAGATATTTCAAGCTTTTATTTGTTATAATTTTGATGATTATGGATTACAGCTTATGAAAACCTTTTCACAATATTCTAATTTTGAATTTGGGGTTTTCATAAGCTGTAATCCATAATCATCAAAATTATTACAAATAAAGACTTTGCATGTAATGAGTCTATATAATCTATCAGTTTCACCTTTTAAGCGTAATTACTGAAATAAATGAACTTTTGCACCATATTCTATTTTTTCCAGTTTCACCTGTTAGCTCATGTTAGTTAATACATTAACCAATGTTTAATAAATGAACCTTATTGTAAAGTGTTACTGATGTTTGAAATGTTCAAACCATCAAATGAAGGTGAGGATTACCCATAGCCATTGGTTGCTTTATCGTACTGTGTCCATTGAGACATATCTTTTTTTTTTTTTTAGTTAGTCATCAATATGTCGTGATTCTGCTGGCATTTCCATTTGTCTGATATACAAATACATTAAAGGAGTAGTTCACTTTTAAAAAAAAAACTTTTGCTGATAATTTACTCACCCCCGTGTCATCCAAGATGTCCATGTCTTTCTTTCTTCAGTCGAAAAGAAATTAAGGTTTTTGATGAAAACATTCCAGGATTTTTCTCCATATAATGGACTCCAATGGGAACCAAACGGTTCAAGGTCCAGTGCAAACAAAGGGCTTTAAACGATTCCAGACGATGAATAAGGGTCTTATCAAGCGAAATGATCACTCATTTAATAAAAAAATAAAACAGTTTAAGTTCTATAAGCTCAAATGGTCGCCTTGCTCTGTTCTGTGATGCGCATTCGTGACTCTCCTGTTCGAACTCGTTCATCAAAATGAAGAAATCTTTTTTCGACTCATGACTTGAAGGGTCCTTGATAAGACCCTTATTCGTCGTCTGGTGTCGTTTAAAGCCCTTTGAAGCTGCGCTGAAACCCTCATTTGGACCTTGAACCGTTTGGACCCCATTGAAGTCCATTATATGGAGAAAATCCTGGAATGTTTTCATCAAAAACCTTCATTTCTTTTCGACTGAAGAAAGAAAGACATGGACATCTTGGATGACATGGGGGCGAGTAAATTATCAGGAAAAGTTTTTTTTAAAGGTGCCAAATGGGATTTAAAATCAAATCATACAACATGTTCCATACCAGATGGGGGCAGTATACCTCCAGAAATACCTCCACGGCCACGCGCTCTCTCATGTCTTCAAACAATATGGGCGAGTGCTGTGTTGCTCTGTCTCCCTCGTGCATATTCATCAAATCAATTGACGCGATAGTAAAAGGTTGGAAGACCGCAGTTTCACGTGGAGCATTTGAAGATTTTTAGAGATTAGAGACTTAATGAACAACATCTCAATACTAAATTATAAGGGCCGTCTTATAGACAAGTCGGTGCATTTCGACGATATGGGGAAATTAAAGCCCAGGCTATTATTTCTAGTTTTATGATATTCGATTTGTTCATATTACATTTTTATCATTAGTTTGAATTAATTTGACAGACAGCAATTCCCTGATGTGGACCAAGCTAGCGTCTTTCAGAGCTGCCAACTCTCACAACACTTTTCACACACTTTCACGCCACACATTTTTGTCATGCACAGAAAAGGACACTGAGACCGATGTCAGCTCTCAGATTCTGTTCATTTTATTACGCAATTCAAACAATAAATACAGTATTGGCGCTTTACACGACAGATCCCTAGCACACGTGAACCGATCATCTCTACTAGCTAATGGTAAAAGAACACGAACACTGTTGAAAGATACAGTATGCTACAACTTACCAAAATGTATTCCTCATGCATAATATCGACCAATCATTTTTTTTTAACTCTTCCCTGAACTGAAATGTAGTAGTGGGCTGTATTTTCCACACGACTGACGTCAGGTTCAAGTACACACAAGCTGGCGCGAGCGCGACTTACTCGTGTACTGCAGTTTGGCTGGTGGTAACGTTGCCCGCCCGCATACCGCCTCCCATGGTCGAAACTGGTATTACGACACCTGCCGGGCCGGGGCTAGTAATTTAGCATGCTAATTCAGGTTAATATCTCGGCAGCACTATTACTTGTCAGTTTTTTAATGACATCATCAACCTTATTTCTTCTCAATCTTTTGATGCGTGTTGCTCATTTTTGGGATATTTTAACCTCAATTTTTACAGATGGCACCTTTAAAAGTGAACTACTCCTTTAACCAATGTTAACTAATGAACCTAAATGTAAAGTGTTATGCAATGAATTATTCTTTTTTTGTCGCCCCATTCAGGTTCCCCATTTTCAAGAATAGCTTGAAGGAGCCAATGGAATATTTCTCATGAGAAAGTGCTGAACCGAAATCCAAGATGGAAAACACAACCCTGCTTTGTTCTGCCCAGGGCTGGTGCGGCCCAAACGTGTCCACCTTTTCATCCGAGTGGGATGATAGCGTGAACTCGTTTCTGATGGCACCTGACGTGATCAAACCCCCTCCGCAGTTCCAGGATCCAGAGGATCCGATCCAGGAATCACCGGCAAACTCAAGACGGGATAAAGACGGTGTGAGGAAAGAGCGTAGGAGTCGACCAACCAGTAACATAGAGCTCCACAGACGCTCCTTGTCACTCTCCACTTCTGTCAATCCCAACCCCGGTGTGGCGAGACGCCGATGCGAAAGCTACGCGCTGTCGTATCCCAGCAGCAGCTCGGAGGACAGCGACAGCAACTCTACCAGAAGAGGAGAGCGACTTCCCGATGCCGTACCTCGATCCCGATCCCGAAGCATCGTCCTCAAGAAGCCCAAAAGAAAACCAGCTCCACCGGTGCGAACCGTGTCCCTCCAAAGGCTCGCGGCGGAGCATAAACAGGGACTTCACCTTGGGAGAAAAGACTCCCAAAGCATCAAGACACTCCCAGATCTCATTCCAACCTCGAAGCAAGACGTCGGCAAGTGCAAGAAGCCAACGGAAGCGCCGTTGAACACATCAGTCTCCGGTCACAGGGCCTTAAATGAGCTTCGATCCAGCGAACCGTGCAAGTCCTCCGTGGCGGCTCCAATAAATGAATGTATCTCGGATGTAAACACATCTCCGTCGTCGTCACACTCTTCCCAGCCCTCAATCTCTTCGCCTTCAAAGCGCAACTCTCCATCAAGCGGCTACGCAAGCCAGTGTGAAACACCAACTCAGTCGGTCCTGTCCTGTAGGATGCGCCATAAGCCTTCCGGCGTTATTCCAGGCCAGAGAACCAGACACCGTAACGGGAGGCTTTCTCTTCAGTTTCCTGAATTTCAACAACACACTCCCGATCCAGAGCCTTCAGTTCAACCCAAAGTGAATCGCCGTTACTCGGACAGCACTGAATCCACCAGACCCAAGCAGAGGATGAGTAACAGCATGTTGATAATGCCTGTCGTTACCCAGGAGGACTTGAATAATGTGCGTTTACGGGCAGTCAGTAGCACTGATCTGGAGAACGCGCCGGAAACTACATCTGACATTATCGAGGAGGAGACTGGGAACAATTTAAGCCCTACAAACAACCAAAAAGCCAAACCCCCAGTGGCTCCGAAGCCGCAGAGAAATAAATGGCCGCCCAATGCTGTGGTTCAGCCACGTCTCGGAGCAACTTCTAATGCAGAAACGCCAACGGTCATCGCCGGTGCGAGATCAGAAGACATTTACGCAATGGTTAGCAAAGCGAAACCAACAGGGACTGTGCCTTCACAAAGTACTGGACAAGCACATCATCTGTTTTTGGAAGGGTTGCCACAACCCCCGTGTGCTTTTGAGCCGCAGAATCCAAAAGCGGTCCCCTTCAACACCGCCAGCTATAGTAACCAAATCCATAAGAAGAGAAGAGCGCCACCACCTCCTCTGGCAAGGACTCCAGCTGTGGACAATTCGCTTGATCACAACTCAGATGCTCTGAAGAGCCCAGACGAAGCCCAGTCGCCATCAAACCTCTGCAAGTCTCCAAAGTCCCCGACCTCTGCAAGCCAATATCATGTCACTTTATATGGCGTCATTCCAACTTACCCTTCGGTCTCTGAGCAACAGCACTCAAGTGCACCAGGTAGGAGAGATATAACACCGTGTCCTAACCAGACAAACGCGACACTCGCTAAAAGGTATATCTTCCAGGGTTTACGCGATGATTCTATTTTTAGGAACGGTTTCTATAGAGAGCCAAAGCCCCTCCCCTTCCGGCTCAAGGGACCTTATTTCGAAAAAAATATGGAAGTCAATGGCGAGAGACGACTTATCTTTATTCCGTCTGAACTGTTCCCTGAATTACACAGATGATGTTTGTCCATTTAAAAGATAATTCTGAAACTCAAGAAAGTCGCAGTTTGTCATGAAACAGAAGAGCAACATTTAGTTTTATGTGAAAGTCGGTCAATGAACTACATCTCCCGGGAAGCGAAACAACGCGTGAGATCCGCTGCTCGTGTGTGTGCAGTCTGGTACAACACACTCAGGCATGACGGCGTAATGTTACGATTATAACGCAAGACTATAGAAACAATGACGGACGTTAGCGTCAGCAAAGTTAGCTTCAGTAAAGTTAGCTTCAGGAAAGTTAGCTTCAGTAAAGTTAACGTCAGTAAAGTTAGCGTCAGTAAAGTTAGCTTCAGTAAAGTTAGCTTCAGTAAAGTTAGCGTCAGTAAAGTTAGCTTCAGTAAAGTTAGCTTCAGTAAAGTTAGCGTCAGTAAAGTTAGCTTCAGTAAAGTTAGCTTCAGTAAAGTGAGCTTCAGTAAAGTTAGCGTCAGTAAAGTTAGCTTCAGTAAAGTTAGCTTCAGTAAAGTTAGCGTCAATAAAGTTAGCGTCGGTAAAGTTAGCTTCGGTAAAGTGAGCATCAGTAAAGCTAGCTTCAGTAAAGTTAGCTTCAGTAAAGTTAGCGTCAGTAAAGTTAGCGTCAGTAAAGTTAGCTTCAGTAAAGTTAGCGTCAGTAAAGTTAGCGTCAGTAAAGTTAGCTTCAGTAAAGTTAGCGTCAGTAAAGTTAGCTTCAGTAAAGTTAGCTTCAGTAAAGTTAGCTTCAGTAAAGTTAGCGTCAGTAAAATTAGCGTCAGTAAAGTTAGCTTCAGTAAAGTTAGCTTCAGTAAAGTTAGCTTTAGTAAAGTTAGCTTTAGTAAAGTTAGCGTCAGTAAAGTTAGCGTCGGTAAAGTTAGCTTCAGTAAAGTTAGCGTCAGTAAAGTTAGCATCAGTGAAGTTAGCTTCAGTAAAGTTAGCGTCAGTAAAGTTAGCTTCAGTAAAGTTAGCGTCAGTAAAGTTAGCTTCAGTAAAGTTAGCTTCAGTAAAGTTAGCGTCAGTAAAGTTAGCTTCAGTAAAGTTAGCGTCAGTAAAGTTAGCTTCAGTAAAGTTAGCTTCAGTTAAATTAGCTTCAGTAAAGTTAGCTTCAGTAAAGTGAGCTTCAGTAAAGTTAGCTTCAGTAAAGTTAGCTTCAGTTAAATTAGCTTCAGTAAAGTTAGCTTCAGTAAAGTGAGCTTCAGTAAAGTTAGCGTCAGTAAAGTTAGCTTCAGTAAAGTTAGCTTCAGTTAAATTAGCGTCAGTAAAGTTAGCTTCAGTAAAGTTAGCATCAATAAAGTTAGCGTCAGTAAAGTTAGCTTCGGTAAAGTTAGCTTCAGTAAAGTGAGCATCAGTAAAGCTAGCTTCAGTAAAGTTAGCTTCAGTAAAGTTAGCGTCAATAAAGTTAGCGTCAGTAAAGTAAGCGTCAGTAAAGTTAGCGTAAGTAAAGTTAGCTTCAGTAAAGTTAGCGTCAGTAAAGTTAGCGTCAGTAAAGTTAGCGTCAGTAAAGTTAGCAACAGTAAAGTTAGCTTCAGTAAAGTTAGCATCAGTAAAGTTAGCTTCAGTAAAGTTACCGTCAGTAAAGTTAGCTTCAGTAAAGTTAGCGTCAATAAAGTTAGCATCAGTAAAGTTAACATCAGTAAAGTCAGTAAAGTTAGCGTAAGTAAAGTTAGCTTCAGTAAAGTTAGCGTCAGTAAAGTTAGCGTCAGTAAAGTTAGCTTCAGTAAAGTTAGCTTCAGTAAAGTTAGCTTCAGTAAAGTTAGCGTCAGTAAAGTTAGCTTCAGTAAAGTTAGCTTCAGTAAAGTTAGCTTCAGTAAAGTTAGCGTCAGTAAAGTTAGCTTCAGTAAAGTTAGCTTCAGTAAAGTTAGCGTCAGTAAAGTTAGCGTCAGTAAAGTTAGCGTCAGTAAAGTTAGCTTCAGTAAAGTTAGCTTCAGTAAAGTTAGCTTCAGTAAAGTTAGCTTCAGTAAAGTTAGCGTCAGTAAAGTTAGCTTCAGTAAAGTTAGCTTCAGTAAAGTTAGCGTCAGTAAAGTTAGCGTCAGTAAAGTTAGCTTCAGTAAAGTTAGCGTCAGTAAAGTTAGCTTCAGTAAAGTTAGCTTCAGTAAAGTTAGCGTCAGTAAAGTTAGCGTCAGTAAAGTTAGCTTCAGTAAAGTTAGCTTCAGTAAAGTTAGCGTCAGTAAAGTTAGCTTCAGTAAAGTTAGCTTCAGTAAAGTTAGCTTCAGTAAAGTTAGCTTCAGTAAAGTTAGCGTCAGTAAAGTTAGCTTCAGTAAAGTTAGCTTCAGTAAAGTTAGCGTCAGTAAAGTTAGCGTCAGTAAAGTTAGCTTCAGTAAAGTTAGCTTCAGTAAAGTTAGCTTCATTCATTGAGAGAAAATGTGCACTTTGGGGTTTGTAGTCTTTGTAATTACGTATTTTAACAGTCTTATACCTCAACATTTTTACATCAAACTGTGACTTTCTTGACTTTAAAATGTAAGTTTTAAATGGACAAACATCATATGTGTAATTTAGGACACAATTCAAACGAGATGAAAATATTTGTTGTCTCTCGCCATTGACTACCATCCAATACAACACCGAAATTGGCTGTTTTTATCGCGTCCCATAGTCGTGTTGCGTCTGGTGTGGACATACGTAAGGGTTAATGCGTTATTAGGCTATAATATCTAACGTTAGATGTTTGTTTTGATAGAGCGTTTGACTGCCTGTTGCTATGGTTACTCACAGCTGTTGTGCAGCGCATTTATTTATAAATTTCGAATGGTAAACAGGCAGTTTCACCAGAACTACTTTACTAGGTGTCCTCTATCACTTTTTAACGGACACCCTGCAGCCAATCAGTATCGAGTATTCACCCAGACCATGGTATAAAAATTATTAGTTGCTGGAATCTTACTGCATCGATTCTGGTTAGGACACGGTGTAATGGACTTAATTTTATCTTTCGGTTAGTGAAATTGCCATGTTCTGTACCATAATCAATAGTTGCTGTCTCATCATGTCAACAGGTCATCCAACAAACAACGTAGAGAAGAGGGAGCGAATGCCCGACCTTGGACCTTTACAATTAGTAGGAGAGGAAGATGATGTATTTCTTTACAAGTCCAAATCTCAAACAACAGAGGATCTATTCACCATAATTCACAGGTAGGGTTGGGTATCGTTTGAATTCGAACGATTCCGATTCTCGATTCTTATCGATTCCTAATTTCGATTCCAATATGGTAAAAAAAAAAAGTATCATAAGTCTTATTGCAAAACATGTCATTTTAGCTGAATATCATGAACAAACATCAACAGGCTAAAGGAACCTTTGCGTATGGTTTAAAAATACCATCACAAAAAAAAAACTAGCCTAACTGATACAAATTTCAAGAATTATTACAGTAAAGGCAAGTAAACACTTAATGTTTAGTAACAATAATGAACAAACAAATTAGCAATCGCACAAATAAATACAACAAAGATACAGTGTTTTAAGATTTTTCAGGTGTTCCGGTACAGAAACTGTAATCAAATGTAAAATAACACTGCAGTTTCTGAATAAAATATAGTAACAAAAGTTATTCAGTCAACAACAGCGAGTGAATTTTCTCTTTATGTTTTGTTGTTTGATTAGTGTTATTACAGAGACCGCAGGAATATCAGTACTGTCACTTTAAGAGCTGCACGGGTCCAATACACTGATACACACGCATTAACGTTCACTTAAGACATTACCGACTGGGTTTACGAGGATATTTTGACACATTTTTGTGTATTTGTCCGTTCAAGTGCAAAAAGACGCAGAAGAGAACTCAGTTCAATGTCGTGCAGTAAACCAAATGAGAGCAGAACGCGTTTTTTCCGGTCAAAAACGAAAGACGCATGTCAGTGGAAAGAAAAAAAAAAAAACGTATAAGGGCCCTATCATACACCCGGCTAGCTTTTTGCTAGTTTCAGCCTGACACAGTTTTCATTTCCACATCCTGCGCCACGTTGTTTAAATAGCGAATGCATTTGCGCGCATCTGTGCGGGCATGGACTGCTGGTCTGAGAACGAGGTGTGTTGCTATTATGAGGAACTGAAATACATTGAGCCGTTGACCAACTGAATCCTGGTCTAAAGTCAATGGGCGCAGTATTTTTTTGTCATTTAAAGGGCACATTTGCAGGGCTCTCAAGTGTCACGCATTGAACGTGACAGTGACTCATTTCGGTCTTTTATCACGCTCACGCACTCTCGCCACACAATGTATTTCTCACGCTGAAACACTATTTAAAATATATTTAATATGCCGCAGCACCCAAAATTTCGCTCTCACTGTCGACCCGGCAGGAATCAAGCACGCCTCCCCTGGAGCTCTTAGTCGAGCCGCCACTTATCAGCCAATCAAAAAAAAAGAAAAAAGAAAGGGGTTACACAATGCCCAATCAGAAAATCTGGGTAAGATTCAAAATAAGTCATGATCTCCTGTTTTAATGTTACAAAAAATTCACAACTTGTTTAACACAAACAATGACAACTTGACTGCTGTTAGAGAACGTTTCCCAGATAATTAGCATCCGTTTTTCATGAGTGTCTGTAACTTAGCCAACAGTTTTACATCCCGTTCACTGACAACACCTGCTCAGAACAAGTTAAGCCTAGTCATATTTGCGTTATCACACGATAACTGACATATTGTCACATTATAAACATCTCTCTCCAAATACGCTTAATAATTGTATAACCACTGAATAAATTCAAGTGTATTGCATAGTCTATTTTATAGGTCACTTTTAAAATCATTATTTTCTGGCCATGGATGCATTAATCATTCCATGTCAGGTAAGAAGCAATTAAGCATCCTTTCATTCAAAGCCCCCTAAAAAGGCCAGGTTAGAGGATGCCCATTAGATGAGTAGACGATGCCGGTGGAAGAGGATGAATACTTTGTAATTGGTTGAATTGTCAGTGCCATGCAATTATTAATAACAACTACAAAAACACGAATAATAATATTACTAATGAAACACCACCATTCCCGCGACCTGTCCAACCCCTTTGACCCCCTGATGGACGGACGGGTGGATGCCATTAGTAATATGAGCCTATAGGCGGGTCCACAACACACACAAAGCAGCACACAAACATGCCAAATATTAAAAATGAAAAAGGATTACAATGTAAAAGTTTCATATTGTGTACATAAAGATATGATGGAATCCGGCTTGTCCCGTAGATGGTCTTTAACCATCAGTTTTTACGCTTGCAAATTCCTCCATGTAAATAGTGAATCCGCCATGGCACGAGCGCAACTGGCTTTTAAAGGGAATGGGAGACGACACTCTGATTGGTTGATTGCATGTGACACACCCATTACTTCTTTTGGATGAGACATTAAACCGAGGTCCTGAAAAAAATCACGCGATAAAACTAACCGGAAATGACACGAAACAGCAAGCGGGCCAATACGCAGCGAAGAAGACGAAGAACACAACACGCCAGTGTGGACGTCAGACAGAAACTAGTGCTGCAAACCGGTTTGCGTGATGATTTGCTCTGAGAAAAAAACGCAAAAAAAGATTTACCTGGTGACCTCAACCCATGCCTTGCTCTGATTGGCTGTAGCTCATGACATCACTGAGGTTCAGCTCTGGATATCTAGCATGCTAGATATTTTTCTGGGCTCTGTGACGCGTCTGCGAGCATCCGTGATGCGTTGTTGGCAGTGTTGGGAGTAACGCATTACAAAAGTAATACATTACAGTAACATATTACTTTTTGCTGTAACGCAGTAGTGTAAGGCATTACTAATCAATTTTCAGTAATATTTTACTCGTTACATGTTCAGTGAGGCTTGTATTACAGTTGTATTACAGTGTATTGTCTGCTTTTACTTCTTAAAGGCAACAGACTATGTGAAAGTTTTAAAGTGCCAGTGTCTGTAACATTGTTTTTTCCTCATAAATGCGAACACGAAAACTAAAATAAAATGAATATTTTAAGTTCTATGGAGACTGTAGAGCCAACCCTTCCTCATCCGATTTGCGCAGTGTAATTAACAGAATTACAAAAAATATATTTTGCCTCCTATTTTTTTGTCACGCATGAATGTGTGTCTTTTCCCTAATATTAAAAATAAAACATAGACTGATATTTGTCTAATGTCTGGAGTCCTTTAAGGAAGTAGCCTATATACGTTTCAATACATGTATTTTCTGAGAATTTTTATTTCAAGTTTTGACTGCAAATGTCATGTCCATAATGCTGGACTTCCCCAATTTTAAATAATATATCTAGTTTTGTGGTGTAGGTCTACCTATTTTATAATGTTAACTTCAAATAATACTAATAGCCTAATTTAAAGACAAGGCAGCATTGGATCTGGACGGTAAGGAGAATAACGCTGGAGTTGGAAGAGGTGTGTCGCGATTCTGTCGGTTCGTGGATCTGAGTCGTGTGGCGAATCGCGATTTCGGTTTCATATTGCATATCGTTACAGCCCAAAAGTTAAGTTCTACTTAGTTATTTTGGTGAAAGTAACTAAAAAGTAATACATGAGTAATGTAACGCATTACAATTCTGGGACAGTAATATTGTACGGTAATTAATTACTTTTAAATAACAGTAACAAGTAATACCTAATGTATTACAGTTTGGAAGTAACTTGCACAACACTGGTTGTTGGATCTTTCATACTAACAGATTGGCGAGCGTTCATCGATTCGCCCGATTACACCCTGACCTGTCGGCGAGCTCAACGATTTGCAAATCAGGCTTAAAATCATGTAGTGTGAACTAGGCTTTAGCTTAGATCATTAAAATACTGCCGTGACGTGTGCGAGATGCTGCAAAAGCATAACTTTTGAAGACATCCGTCCAGTGCGTGTTTGTAACGGACGCGTTTGGATGTGGCTTTCTGTGCGCACGTCGTTTTAGATGTGTGAGCATCACAGAAAACCTTGAATGGTTTAAAGTCATATTAAAATGCACACAAAGGAATCGATAAGAGGAGTCTAAGTCTTAATTCCTGACCTCAAGTATCCGATTCCCAACCCTACTCACAGGTTAATTAGTGCTGCTACAAAACACTCTAGCTCCCAGTACAGCTCCAGTCTTGTTTTGACGTTGGCTTAAGCGCCCCGCTCTCTTTTATATCGTTTTCCCATTTTGCAGGTCTAAACGAAAGGTCCTGGGTCGGAAAGACTCCTTTGAAAACAAACACGGTGACCCTGGCGCTCAGACACTCGGCAGCGGAGCGTCCAAGATCAGCTCTCAAAATGACAACTTCATGGCTTTTCTGAGGAGGACGAGAAGCGCCAAGGCTGGTTGCAGTGAACGAATCTCAGCCACAGAGCTGCTCAGAAGCTCCAAACCCTCTGTTACCATTGCAGAAAACATCACACATTGCAAAAACAGCTATGTACAGTCACACGGGCCATAAAGTTGAGTTTTTTCGCCACAATACCACGTTAAAGTTTCCGAAACAATATCAAAGTATAAAAAAAAAACGAGCTCGTAAATATGCGTTTGGATCCGAAGCACAACATTAAGACGTTCAAATCATCTCTTCCTGAAACGTGCATTGCTTTTTCATTGTATTGAATGATAACACAATAGTTTGTAAATTCAAATATATCTTTACGTGTTAATGTAAATATAAATGTTTTAAGAGTTGAGATGCTATAATATTGCAGTTCTTGTCATAAAGTTACTGAATATAAATTCATTAATAATTGGTTGTGTTTGGGCTTCCTGCCTTCCATAACGAAGCAGATTATATCAATGACTGTTTTAAAATGTTCCGCTGTAGACTTGCAGATGTTCAGTATATTAAATTGCTTTTCAGAAGTAACTCGTGCTTTTTTGTGTGTTTCTTAGAACATCCTCAATTCACTTTTTGGATGCATTTAAATTATGCTTAAAATGTTTCATTTAAGTTTTATGTCTCTGTCATGTCTCTCTTCATTTCAAAGAACCATTAGNTTGTTTTTGAACGTAAACATAATTCTTAGAAATGAAAAAAAAGGAAAAATTGGGGAAGTTATAATATTTGTATAATTTAATTTAGAAACAAATGATGTATAATTACATTTTTAGAAGATATGGAGGCTTTTAGTGTTTACTTTTTTGACATTACTTTAATCTTTGCCATAGTTGCACATGTCTACTGGCTAATAAATGTGATGTATCTGTTGAGTTTCAAGCAATTTCAAGCATGCTAAGAGTCCCAAAAGCATCAAAAAAGAATGTTAAAGTTTGATTCGTTGCCACGGCAACAGTATCAAAGATATCAAAAATTCATTCACAGGTCTACATCTGCCGTGTATTTACATTATACAGATGAAGTTTGAAGCAAATCGGTTAAAAATAAGAGAGTGGTTTCAAAGCATTTTGAAAGTGACACACTTCCTGCTGCCAGTTGGTGGCGCTATAATTTTGACTCACAATAGTCACATCCATGTGATCGGTCTCTTACAGCGAAAACACTGCTGAAGTTTCATCAAGATCAGTTAATGTATGCTGAAGTTATAACACACATCCTGTTTCATGTTTTTCGCCATAATTTCGTTTCCTCGCCACGGCCAAACCGTTCGAGATATAAAAATCCTTGGCACCTTTTCATCCTTAATGTCTTGACTTCACGCTGATCGAGTTTTGTCGAATTTGGTTCAGTGCTCTAGGAGCAATACTTTAAATTCCATTGCATGTGTTTTAAACACAACCCTAAATAGCCGTCTTCCTGTTGGGCTGGGGTAAAAGTAAGAGTGTGAAGTAGGCTATATATGAAACGATGAGATCTATATGTGTACCAAGTTTCATATTATTACATGCAAGTGTGTTTGATTTATGGACCAATTTTCAGACCAAGTTTATTGACCAAGTTAATCTGATTAATAAACTAATTATATAAAACTATTGTCAATGCACTACAATTAAACTAGTTATATGTCTTTACTTATAAAAAATAAAAATAAAAACTTATTTAAAAATACCAGGCTTGAGAAATGTATTTTCTTTATGCAGGCCATACACACAGCAGTGAAATGGTTAAGCCCCCTCCCCCTGCACACTCACACACACACAGACAGGCAAAGACAGAGATGTAGGCTCAGATTAAGCAAGACCACATTCAAACAAACATATCTGACTTTCTGTGGGTCCTAGCTAATAAGTGTAAATTAGAAAGTTGTCCGGCTCGAGGAGTACAATATACATACCAATTTTTGTAACTCTAGTTAAAACTAACAACCCCACTTTTGTCAAAAGGTGGCGCTACTGAGCCCTCACCACGCCCGTTTCTGAAACTTTGCACATGTCTACTGGCTAATAAATGTGATGTGTCTGTCGAGTTTCATGCATTTGAAGCATGCTAAGGGTCTCAAAAGCATCCTAAAAGCATCCTAAAAGAAGGGTAAAGTTTGATGCGTCGCCACGGCAACAGTTTCAAAGATATCAAGAATCCATTCACAGGTCTACATCTGCCGTATGTTTACATTATACAGATGAAGTTTGAAGCAAATCGGGTAAAAATAAAAGGGTGATATCAAAGCATTTTGAAAGTGACACACTTCCTGCTGCCAGTTGGTGGCGCTATAACTTTGACTCACAATAGTCACATCCATGTGATCGTCCTCTTACAGCGAACACACTGCTGAAGTTTCATCAAGATCAGTTAATGTATGCTGAAGTTATAACACACTTCCTGTTTCACGTTTCTCGCCATGATTTCGTTTCCTCGCCACGGACAAACCGTTCGAGATATCAAAAATCCCCTCGCAAACTTTCATCCTCAATGTCTTGACTTCACGCTGACCGAGTTTCGTCGAATTTGGATCAAAGCTCTAGGAGGAGTATTTGACATTCCATTGCGAGCGTTTTACAAACAAACCTCAATAGCCGACTTCCTGTTGGGCTGGGGTAAAAAGTAAGAGTGTGAGGTATAGATGAAACGATGAGATCAACATGTGTACCGAGTTTCATATTATTACATACAAGCGTGTTTGAGTTATGGACCAAGTGTTCGGACCCCGTTCCAGGGGGCGCTGACGAGCCGCCCTACCACGCCCGGGTACCAGCTTCAGCCCGGCTCTGATGGCCGCGGGTTCTGACCCGTGTGCAAAGTTTCAAGAGTTTTCGAGCACGTTAAGGGCCCCAAAAGTGCCCAAAAGGTAGTAAAATAATAATTATTAATATAGCTGCGAGCAGCGATGGCGGGCCCAAGCCGGTGGCACCGCAACCCCGGTTCCTTTAGTTACCTAAAGGCACCCGGGTGGCGGTGCCGAAGGCTTTGGCCCTTTCATGATTAAATGTTAAAACGGCTTGCCATACTCTGTCATTTCGACTAGTCAAAATTATGTTACAGATATCTTAAATGATAATACAAACTATCCAAAATGTAATTACGAATAGACAGAAAGACGTTGTTGATATCTACAATGTTAATTCCGGACAGGCAAACTTAGCTTTTAAATGTTAAAAGGGCTTGCCATACAGGGACGTAGGCTCAGAGAGAGGCTCACCATATTCAAACCAAAATATCTGACTTCCTCTTGGTCCGAGCTAATGACTATGTATTAGAAAGTTGTCCGGCTTGAGGAGTACAATGTATATAGCGATTTTTGTAACTGTAGATAAAACTAACAACCCCACTTTTGTCAAAAGGTGGCGCTATTTAGTCCTTGCACCATGCCCGTTTCTGAAACTTTGCACATGTCTACTGGCTAATAAATGTGATGTATCTGTTGAGTTTCAAGCAATTTCAAGCATGCTAAGAGTCCCAAAAGCATCAAAAAAGAATGTTAAAGTTTGATTCGTTGCCACGGCAACAGTATCAAAGATATCAAAAATTCATTCACAGGTCTACATCTGCCGTGTATTTACATTATACAGATGAAGTTTGAAGCAAATCGGTTAAAAATAAGAGAGTGGTTTCAAAGCATTTTGAAAGTGACACACTTCCTGCTGCCAGTTGGTGGCGCTATAACTTTGACTCACAATAGTCACATCCATGTGATCGTCCTCTTACAGCGAACACACTGCTGAAGTTTCATCAAGATCAGTTAATGTATGCTGAAGTTATAACACACTTCCTGTTTCACGTTTCTCGCCATGATTTCGTTTCCTCGCCACGGACAAACCGTTCGAGATATAAAAAATCCCCTCGCAAACTTTCATCCTCAATGTCTTGACTTCACGCTGACCGAGTTTCGTCGAATTTGGATCAAAGCTCTAGGAGGAGTATATGACATTCCATTGCGAGCGTTTTACAAACAAACCTCAATAGCCGACTTCCTGTTGGGCTGGGGTAAAAAGTAAGAGTGTGAGGTATAGATGAAACGATGAGATCAACATGTGTACCGAGTTTCATATTATTACATACAAGCGTGTTTGAGTTATGGACCAAGTGTTCGGACCCCGTTCCAGGGGGCGCTGACGAGCCGCCCTACCACGCCCGGGTACCAGCTTCAGCCCGGCTCTGATGGCCGCGGGTTCTGACCCGTGTGCAAAGTTTCAAGAGTTTTCGAGCACGTTAAGGGCCCCAAAAGTGCCCAAAAGGTAGTAAAATAATAATTATTAATATAGCTGCGAGCAGCGATGGCGGGCCCAAGCCGGTGGCACCGCAACCCCGGTTCCTTTAGTTACCTAAATGCACCCGGGTGGCGGTGCCGAAGGCTTTGGCCCTTTTATGATTAAATGTTAAAACGGCTTGCCATACTCTGTCATTTCGACTAGTCACAATTATGTTACAGATATCTTAAATGATAATACAAACTATCCAAAATGTAATTACGAATAGACAGAAAGACGTTGTTGATATCTACAATGTTAATTCCGGACAGGCAAACTTAGCTTTTAAATGTTAAAAGGGCTTGCCATACAGGGACGTAGGCTCAGAGAGAGGCTCACCATATTCAAACCAAAATATCTGACTTCCTCTTGGTCCGAGCTAATGACTATGTATTAGAAAGTTGTCCGGCTTGAGGAGTACAATGTATATAGCGATTTTTGTAACTGTAGATAAAACTAACAACCCCACTTTTGTCAAAAGGTGGCGCTATTTAGTCCTTGCACTATGCCCGTTTCTGAAACTTTGCACATGTCTACTGGCTAATAAATGTGATGTATCTGTTGAGTTTCAAGCAATTTCAATTTCAATTTCAATTTGACTGTTGAAAAGAAGTGCGCCGATTAGATACTCAGGATCGGTATCGGCTCTGACACTGCCATCTTTGACGAGGCTGATTCAAATTCTATATTGTGCATATATACTATTCTATGTTAGGCACAAAGGCACAAAAACTTTCTAAAGTACCATAAAGTTTTTGTGTACTGTATTATTAGTGTTCTGAAGCTATTATGTGATATAGAAATTAATATTTAAGTCATTAAATTCAAGAACACAAACTTTTCCCTCTCTGCGCCTGTCAGTCATTCTCCATTCAGCATTCAAACAGCACGTCACATTCGGTTACAGTCAATGATGAAACGATCTTCAAGATGATTGAATGTTAATCCTATTATACTGGATCTTTAAGATAAAGGTCTAAAGGTCTATATTTTCGAATGAAGAAACTTTTTCTTGCTGGACTTTATTGCTGTAACTTAACCGTGTTACTTTCTACCGGGTGTCGGACGCTGTCGGTTAGATCACAACACTAGAGTCAGAGCACTATAATTGTTCTTCACGCACACAGTAACTGAAATTTAAAACCTTTAAAAGAAAAGGCTCAATAAACTATTGCATAGATAGATAATGTATAATACACTGTTCATAAATATGTATTTCCTTTGTGCTTTGAACTTTTCAATACGGACTCACTGCGCTGTAACTTCATGTGGCTTCAAGCACAT